TAATTGAAATTCGCTCTTCTTTTTTCTCTCTCTGCACGTTCTCCTGTAATTGTTTTATGAAATTTCAACTTCTTCAGTTTGCTCCCCCCCCCCCCCCTCCTAGCTCTATAACAAAAGGTTCACTTTCCCTTGGTTCTTTTGTTTCATCTTCAATTTCGGTTAAAACTTTTCTTCTTCTCTAAATGTTCTTGGTTTCTTCAGTTTTCATTCGTCGTATGCTCATCTTCTTCAATTTCTTTCGTTTGTTTTATTATCATTTGCTGGAAATAATGTTGTATAATAATAATCTTGTCCGGATGCACTTTTAGCCCCCGAGCGAGGCACCATTCCTGCACTGTAGCAAGGTCACAGGTTTTTTTTTCTTTCTTACTACTATTCTCTCCATCGTTTTAAAGATGAAAGACAAATAGGCTGATGGGTCGGTAGCTCTTGGGTTGGCTCCTGAGCCTCTTGTCTGCCTTAGGAATGAAAACCACATCTACCTTCCTCCAGTCCTTGGCGATATAGTTTGGGGAGTTGCTCTTCCTAAAAAGTTCTACTAAAATGGGCGTTAATGTCTCAGGAAAATCGGGAGAATTCTATCTCCCTCGGCTGATTTATAAGGCTTATGACAGCGTATCGCCCGATGGGGCCTGTTTGATGTGGGTATACGCCCTCTAAGACCGTAGTCAAATTTGTTGGCAGCACGGGAAGATGGAGGCCTTCTGATGTCCTTCGTCTGCTCACCGAAACCGGGAAGTTGGTTCGCATCAAGAGTTGCAAAGTCTCTGTAGCCTCATTTTCTTCTTCTTCGTCTTCGCTAAATACTTTTTGACTCCATAAGTTGGAACTCGCTACTAACTTTTGATCTGCTAATTTCTCCTGAATATTTTGTCCTTTCGTTTTTTTACACACTCATTTTTCCCTTGGATTTATTTTTCCATCTGGTTTTGGTCAACTGTGATCTCCTCACATTGAACTCGATCCGCTCTAATGTCTTGTATCACTTTGTCACACATTCCTTTTCGAAAATCTTATTAATCTTCTAAGATCTTTTCATTTTACCTCCTCACTGCCTTTCGGAATTCTATTTCCCAAATTTTCTTCTTGGATTTCCAAGCTTCCAAAGATGCATTAGCGTTCTCGAGCATGCACGTTGCCAATTTGACTCGTAATTTCATATACTCCTACAAATTTGGTGAGCCGTTTTCTTAGTCCTACGCTTGAAAGTTTTGAACACCTGCGCAGATGAAAAATGCCTCAATTCTTAAATTTTGCTCTTATATTTGTTTAATATCTGAATAACCTCCGGATAACCTGCACTGAGATGCTTCAAATGCGACGAACTTGCACCGGCAGCTCGCGCACCCACGGTGGCTTCGGTTCTCCTTTACACAAAATAATAACGATGTAATCACAAAAATTAAATTTAGTGAAGGTAAGAAAAGGGAAAATCCAGCGGTAATTTACAAAGTTTTCAGTCGCTCTTGCTTCTGAACTAGATGCGGTCGGCGATGGTAAGCCAAGAATTCATTCTAAAGGGCAAGCGGTGGGCCGCTACTGGTGAATGCCGAAACAAAATTTAAAGTGCACAGCAATTTCCCAGCGCGAACAGTAAGTAATCGGATTCGGTAGCGGTTTCTACGGGAAAGCAAATGCAGGAAGCGAGACAATATCTTCCCTTCCCCCCTCTCCCCTATAAATACCTTGCGGTAAACTTAATGTGAAGGCAAAAATTAAACGGTCTGAATACAGAATAAATTTACAGAAAATATCCTAATTTAATACTGTACTTACAAAACTTATCCAAATAGTCGGAATGAAATCTCCAAATTCTGCAGTCCAGCACTACCCTTTTGTTCCTTGGAATGTGAGGTAAAACGGCAAAATGACAATACTTGACTCGGAAATTAAAGTACTCGGCCCAAAAGCTCCTCGCACTTCAATATTTCCTCGCCAGTCATGTGTCATTTTCCTGACTTTTATGTAAATAACTATAAATTGACAAATTATGTCAAGGACTACTGCAGAATATTGATAGCAACACGGTTTCTACAGACGCAACAAAAAACTGCTACGCAACATTTTTAGAGCAGCGCTTGCGGGAACAGAAATGCTGCCTTTGAATTGACAATTGACAACAAAAGAACGCAAAATTGGAGTACACAAAGAATTTCAGTTTTACATCAAGGTGCGGCAAAAATGTGTAGGTAGGCTGAATGAACTGACCCTCTTGGTCCATTGAAAAGAAATTGATTTGGCGATGTCCATGAACCTAGCAGAGCAAAGGCAGCAGAACACAATCAAACATATTGCATAGTCAGGTGCTAATTAGGTGCTAATTAAGTGCTCTATTCCCGAATTAAATGCTCCTTTTTTTTAAATTATTACATGTTCTGCCAGGTTCATATGAACTCAGCAGAGCACTACCTTAAAAACCCAAGAAAATGAAAAATGAACCAACTAATAATTAGGTTTTATCTTAATTGTCAAGTATCACATAGCATCCTACGTCCCGTGCCCGTGCTATGCTTGCACTTTTCATAATTGAACGCACAATAGAGCAATTTGTTTTCGAAGTACGCCTTTGTAAAATTTGTACGAACAATTTTTGTAACTTTTTGCGTTTAAAGCAATAAATTAGCACCTTTTAATACACCAAATCACGAACACTTAAAGACGTATTTGTTTTTGTAAACACAGTGCCTGTCTGCTTAAATCATGTAAATAGTGCAAGTAAAAATAAAAAAAAGGAAGAGCACAGAATTTGAAAATAGGCCACTTAATTAGCACCTAATCAGCACCTAATTATTAGTTAGTTCACTTTTCATTTTCTTAGGTTTTTAAGGTAGTGCCCTGCTGAGTTCATATGAACCTGGCAGAACATGTAATCATTTAAAAAAAACGGAGCATTTAATTCGGGGATAGGGCACTTAATTAGCACCTAATTATAATTAGTTCCCTTTTCATTTTCTTGGTTTTTTGAGGTAGTGCTGTGCTGAATTCATATGAACCTGGCAGAACATACAATAATTTAAAAAAAAGGAGCTTTTTATTCGGGAATAGGGCACTTAATTAGCACCTAATTAGAACCTAATTATAAATAGTTCACTTTTCATTTTCTTGGTTTTTTGAGGTAGTGCTCTGATGAGTTCATATGCACCTGGCAGAACATGTAATAACTTTTAAAAAAAGGAGCATTTAATTCGGGAATAGGGCACTTAATTAGCACCTAATTATAGTTAGTTCACTTTTCATTTTCTTGGATTTTTAAGGTAGTGCTGTGCTGAATTCATATGAACCTGGCAGAACATGCAATAATTTAAAAAAAGGAGCATTTAATTCGGGAATAGGGCACTTAATTAGCACCTAATTATAGTTAGTTCACTTTTCATTTTCTTGGATTTTTAAGGTAGTGCTCTGCCGAGTTCATATGAACCTGGCAGATCATGTAATAATTTAAAAAAAAGGAGCATTTAATTCGGGGATAGGGCACTTAATTAGCACCTAATTATAGTTATTTCACTTTTCATTTTCTTGGATTTTTAAGGTAGTGCACTGCTGAGTTCATATGAACCTGGCAGAACATGTAATATTTTTTTAAAAAAGGGAGCATTTTAATTCGAGGATAGGGCACTTAATTAGAACCTAATTATGCAATATGTTTGATTATGTTCTGCTGACCTTGCTCTGCTAGGTTCATGGATGATTTGGCGAGTAAGTCGATTTTTTGACATCCATCCTAAGTTGAGTTGTAGTTCAGTCTTGAATCCTTGGAAGATACGCAGTGTCAGAATTGGAATGAGCACCTCTATAAGAACAGGCCCTGTCTGGACTTAAATTCACAAACCATTTGTAGTCATCCATTCAGCTGTTGCTTGGGGGAAAAATCTATAACTTCTGTGTGACCGTTTCACATACCACTATTTATTCTTGTATCTTGTAATGCGTGGGTTTTTCACAGATTTCCCCTATTTTCTTTGTGGTCTCCTATTGTTCTCAATTTGGAATACCACTATTTTTGCCAGCATTCGTATGTAGTCACTACTACTTCAAGTGCTTACATTTATTTTTGGCATTCGATAAAGATACAGTATTAATAACAGTAATAATAATAAATAATAAAAATAAATAATAAATAAAATGGTATAGCTAATGACCTTGGTTGTCAATGCCAAAAAAATAAAATAAATAATATATCCAAGTTGAACTTCTCCGTGAGATAATTTTTAATTACCTACTTTTGTTAATAAGTAAATCAAGTTTGATTTTGTATGAAGATTGTTTCATTGTTTGGTATTTGCCTAACTGCGTCTGATCACAAAAAGAAAAGTAGGTGCTCTTTGACCTCCAATTCGAGTTGAATTAAGTATGTAAATGCGGTTTCTTCAACAAAAAATCTCCAAAGTTTTAAGCAACAAGTTAGGAAATTTAAAAACTGTTTTAAAATTTATGAGGTATTTAGGGGGTACTTAAAACACTTATAAGTGATAACATCGTTTCCTTATGAATAAATCAGCATTCTCTGAAAGTTTTTCTAATCGAACATTAACGAAGCATTTTATCTTTGGACGTTTACGCGATCGATCCCTACGGGGAACGTCCCGCGAAAGGGTTGAGGGCGTATAATGTACATGCCAATCTTGAAATGTAAATCGGTCTAATGTCGCCTTGTGAAGAGTAATTTTCTCAAAAAGATTACGCTCGAAATGAAAACAGGGCGCCTTTAGAATGTCGAGCTCGCATTCGTAGTATATTATAAGGGATGATGGTATTACGCAGAAGCTCGTGCTTTTTTTGTGTCTTAAAGATGATGGGAATTTTTAAAGGCCATTACGATATGACGATGTCTAAAACCACTCAAACGTACTCACCAACTAATTGCAGTCGCGATAACGCAGTGGGAAAAAGTTAAACTTTTAACGTTAAGACTTGCGCATGGGGGTGTCGGTAAGTGAAATCATCCCTGTGAAACGGTCTACTCAGCAAATGCTCTCGACGTCGGAGCCGCCAGTCGAACTTCTACCACTATGTACGCCGCAACGCGTTGCGTTCACCCCCAACTTGACGATCTTTTCGGTCAACCCTCTTTTACGCAATTTGCTGTGAGAAGTGTTACCAATTAAAATTTTAGTCAAAAAGAACATTTACAACAATTTTTGATATAATTTCGTGTAAAATACGTATTTTTATAAAAAAAATTTACATGTTGGTGTATTATGTAAAAGCTAATGGTACTTTACTTTATCTGGTAAGCAAACGCATTTTCATAAATTTACACACGCCCTTCTTCTGTATAGCAAAAAAGTATCGGCGACTATCAGGTGTCAGGGAACCACCTTATATATTTAAAGCCAGGCTCTGAATTGTCAAAGCAGTTTATCCTTATTCTTTATTACTGAATGATTTACTCGGGAGGGGTTTTCATTCATAAATTTACTCTTATATGTCTACAAAAGCCGTATTTATTCTCTCGAGTTAACGTAATTTATTTATTTGAGCGAGTTCATTTTACTATCTAATTTATTTACAAACAATTGTTTGCTTCCTGTGATTTCATTAGTCCAATCTTGCAGACGGGACGTAAATGACAAGACCTTCTGTCTATGGATCTTACCATTGAAAGCATGAAATGACGTTAAACACGTTATCTATCAACAAAGGGCGCGTTGAGGTTGATATGTTGAGCGTTTCCAAAGAGATGTTTTTAGTGTCCCTAAAAACTCAGAGAATATAAAATCGTTTATTTTGTTACTTAGAGAACGCGAAAATAACGGGAAACTGCTGAAAATGCTGGATATGCATTTGAATTATTGGCGTATGCCATTTGGGCTAGTAAATGCACTACGATAATGTACACATGCCGCACATGAATGCCAGAGTATTTTATTTGACGATTTGCGCAGATTCCATATAAATTTGGCAAGGCGCCAGATTGCGTTCAGAAACCTTGAAACTTTATCAGTTACTTATCTTGAAATTTTCAAGTGCGCCTTGACTAGGCCATCTTTTAATGGGATTACCTAATTCCAGATTATTGTCTGGTTCACCTTTTGTTTATTTCCGGAACTCGTTCATCTAAATCTGTGTGACGTTGGATATTAAACATTTTATTCGCTTGTTTTCCGACCGAAATTGGTGATATATGGAAATTTAGCAGAGATTCGGAATTTTTAATTTGTTGTATTACTAGATACTTAATACTACGTTTTACTATCGAAATTAAAGATCGCATCAAAATTGTGCTACTTTTTTTGATGATTTATGCGCTGTTATGGGATTTGAATACGACCAACTTTGACATAACCAAATTGTGTATCAAACCAACATGAAAACAACAAGCGTATATAAAATTCACGTAAGATGAGTTACTCACGCTTTCATACATCACCGGAGCAGCCTCGTTTTTAACCTGCCCCGCTTATTTAAGCAATCCGCACCTCCACTTTATTAATCTGCCTCGTTATTGACCCACGAAAATCGAACAAATAACTTACGTCGCCAAATTGATTCCCATAAGCGTAGCGCTTTACATGCAGGTGTCCTTTTATCAGACCTGGCCAATTAATTTGCCCAATAACGGCTTTTACACACACATTTGTCCAGATAAGACTTCTTTCTTACGTCAATTACAAATTAAATGTTTCCTTATTTATACGTCCCTTGAATTTCAGACACTCATTAATAAAATAACAACCCTTAAATTACTTTTACAAATTCACAATTTATAATACAAAAAAACTGAACATTACAGTGACCATTACATAAAATCCTCAAATTCTGTCTCCATTTGAAGGCATTATTTCAATCCAAAAAACGGCCCCCCTCCCCTGCGTAACAATGAATCACAAATTTCAATATGCACCGGATATGTCGCATACAAAATTATATTTTACAATTTTATCGTTTCGTCAATTAGAAGAAATATTGAGATGGCCCTATTATCTCGAACACACTGTAATTTGAAACAATCAAACTCAGCCCCCTCTACATTCCTTCAAAACATCAATATTAATTTTGCATCTAAAAATCCAGTGTCTAAGTCTCTGTTACTTATTTTGAAGTGCATACTTGGTCTATTTACTAATTTTCCGCCTTTAACGAACAATGAAAAAATGTAATATCCCCTTTTTTCTTTTACAAACAAATCTCAACTCTTAAGGAATAGAATTTTAACTCAGTTAGAAGATTTTCACTATTTAGTATAAAAGGGAAAGCAAACATTTTGTCCTTCTAATTGTATCGAACATAGAAAAATTATATACAGTGGGAAAACTCCCTGTCATATACAAAATTTCAATCAGGTTGAAAGGGCACGTACTGAGTCCTTATGGAATAATTTTTCTTTACTAAATTAAACGCCGGAATTCTGTACCAGCAAAATCCTTAAAGTAATCGGTATGTATTAATCACAATGGAAAGAAACACTTCACCTTATTTATACAAGACTAAAACTAGCCTTCATTTCGGACTCGTAATGGAAGGTCTCGCTGATTTCTCAGTTCCACAGAAAATTGGATATTATGTTTTTTCGATTTTACGAAGGTCGCCTCCAAAATGGCGCTAATAGGTTAAATCGGACATCTTTAATCATTATCCGCAACTAATCACCCATTCGTTTTGGGCTATGAATCAAAACCCACGGCCGTTCTAAAATCTAAAACCTAGAGATTCTCACGATGATCTATGATTCCATTATAAGCCTGATTTACCTACCTGTTTTGGTCGCGTAAAACACATTAAGATTGTATTATCGCCCGTCAGACTGGCCCAGGTAACTTTCTCAGGCGATTAATCGGTCATGACACGTCATACGTTAATTTTATTAAGAACTCATCGAGGCACTCATTGACTTTAAAGAAATTAAAATAACAAAAGTGTGGAATAACCAGCCCTCTAATGGGAACACTGTATCTCTCTGAATGCCTAAAACTTTTTTACCATTACTATAATTCCAATTATGATTACGTTCATTCCTTTGCGCAAAATGAAAGACTAAATGCCGCAAATGTAACAAAACAACCACGAGATAAACACCCGGTAAGCTCAGGCAAAATAGAGGTGGGTCGGGGTGAATAACAGGGTTCTCGTACTCTAGCAAAACGAATCAAAAAGGAAATTTAGTAATAGTAAACCCGATGGTAAATTTAAAATAAGAACAAGAAAAGAACAGAATACTTGCCCAAAGAGGAAAACACTTGTCTTGATAAGCTAAAGAAATAAAGTAATTTGCAGGGATAGAACATCAAAAACAATTGATGTCACTATCGAGGGTAATTTATTTAATAAATGATCTCAACAATATTGCAAATGGGAAACTGTAATATCTAGATTTGAACTGTTTAATTTGACATCATTTTTAGCAAAAAAGGGGATCAACTGGTAGTCGGTAAAATAATCAAATCAAAACCGTTATATTAAGAAGTCGACGAAAATAAAGAAATATTACCTTTGGACTCTGGTCGTAACGGCCTTTTGAGCTCAGAAGGGCGCTTTTATGCCTTATCTGTAACAGACAACTTGCGATATAGCAAGGTCTAACGTCTGACACTAATCAGGTAAATCATTAACCAAACGCAAAATTTTGAATCATCCACGTATTACCCGTAAGAATCGGTGTCGTTAACTTCAAGAAAACTACTTTACGATACACAAATAACTAAATTTCTATACAACAGCAATGTAATCTAACTAATTAACAATAAGTCAAGTAAGTAAATAGCAATGGCTTATCAGAAAAATCTGCACGCAGACACTGTGAAGACCAGATGGTCTCTGAAGAAGAAAGAAAGGATCAGGATCTCTAGTGACGAAACAACGAATTATTATAAAACAAACTATTAACACTCGGATGGCCTCTAGCGGCGAAAATAAAGAACTACAGCAATAACATAATTTTCACTAAATGGGTTTACAAAAAAAAATACATAGATGGCGTAAGAATTTAAATGAAAGTATAAATCGAAGAGTTATTTAAACGGAATTAAAATTGGTAATCAATTCAAATGAAAATTTCATTTCGATTAAAAACTTTTACTCTTAGCAGCATGTTGGAATATGGACGCATAAAACGTCAGTTTGGCGCGCAAACTAGCACAAAAGGAACACAATTCAAATGTGAACCTTGTTTACGATTTGAAACCTTCCTTTTTAGGGAAACTCTTAATCACCAAAATACTGGCTAAAACTATACAAGTTTTGGAAGACTTGTTGAGACCTTTGGAAACTGTTAAGCCCCCAGTAAATTTTTGTCATCTTTGAAGATTCATGAAGACTGTAAATGTTCAAGATACTAAGAGCGCTTATAATGCTCTTATAAACCCTTTAAGAAATTGTTAGCAACCTTGAAACTCATTAAAGAATTTCAAATACGCACAATTAAGCCGCTAAAGCTCGTGAAGGGACTGGCCCATTCTGATATTAAACACTTAAAGCTCTTTTAGAGGGACCAACGAAGGGAGAAAACATTTGATGAGACTAGAGGCTCTTAATCTTAAGGATTAATAAAGTCGTTTATGTGATCGTAAGAGCTTTTAGGAACTCCAAAGCCTTAGGATCACTACATAAAGACCCTTCTTGATAACTTCTGAAAGTTTTGAACATTTTCAATTCCCTAAAGATCCGTAAATGCTCTACATATATTGTAATAACTCTCTAGAATAACCCCCCAGAAAACTCTTGCACATTTTTAAAGTCCAATAAACGCTGGTGCCTTACAAATCTCTGGAAAGTTCTTGGAGGCTCTTGGAAACTGTTCAAAACTCTCAAAGTAAAGGTTCCCTATCTTTCTGTATAGTGTATATTGTAAGGGCAGCCCGCTTTGCAATTTAATTTTTTCGATTTTTGTAGGCGGTTAAAATTGGATATAGATATACCGCTTAGGCGCGATAAACGTGCGCTACTAGAACACGAGGAAGTTACTTCTTCGGTCATTCTGTTTTGGCTGAGACAATAACGCAGAATAAACAAAAAATGATGGTCTGCTATTGATTTAAAAAAGACGCTGCTGCAAAATTTGCGTTGGTTCTGTTTCAGTTTTTTCATGCGGCAATATAAATAGCGAAGCACACAGAAAAAGGGAAGCTGATGATCTTTTGTTGGATGATTTGCGGAAATTCGAAGTAAATTTAGACAAGTGACTCTTAACGGTATTAGTAATTGAGGGATTTAAAGGTTAGTTTCAACTGGGCATCCGATAAAAACCATGTTTGAAGAGGTAACATTATAACATTTTGAAAAATTATATTGGAG